CAAAATAAGATAATGTTGCACCAACCTGATAAAGCATGAATCTGTAAATAAAGACATTTGTCGTTAGATGGTTTTGTATTTTAAGTTGTCATACTGCCATTCTGTCATGAGATCAGACAACCCAATCGCAAGAAAATACGTTGGCATTGTATGTTTCTGAAAACCACACATTACATCTGTATGTTATTATGTAGCAGATACATTAAAACTTTACGCATCTTACAATGCTGTGGTTGATGTGTGGTTTTGTTCAGGCACACAACCCACTAGGGTACGGTAAGAAAAGATCGGGTTTGGCTTAAATTACCCATGTTCGGTGGCACAAAAGCAGCTGGAAACATGGCCTTGGGTTGCCAAAAAACACCCACATTTAGTGGCATGAACGCTGCTCGAAACATAGCCACCAGTCGCAAACAAACAACCATTGTTGTTCGTTCATCTCCAACAGAGGTCCGCAGCTTGGCAGCCATCTTGCTTAGGTATCACACCATCCACCATTCCTTCTACCTCCCAATGACAAAGCCAGTTCACATACACAGTCACTTGAGAAATGTTGATATGAGTCATCAAACATACAAACGTAACATATCCATGGTTTGCAGGGATGTACAATACCAATATTTTCTTCTGGCTACTGGGTTGGGTCAGAATACATCTGTGCATTTGAACAATAAATAATATAATAATTTAATGATTAATTTAATAAAGGTCTCACCTTTGGACCGTCTGTAGCGATACAAAAGGAGCAGAAGAATAACAAGTACAATTCCAAAAACCAGCCCAATAATCATCAGTACAGGAGATGAAGAGCTTTCAGGCCTGGAGGCTCCTGTAATAAATAAAAACTGTTAATAAATGTAAACAGCAGCTTCTGAATTTACATACATTTTCATAAAGATGAGTCATGTCACATGGCGCCAAAGTAAAGACTAAACATACAATCGAGAGGTATAAACAACACACATGCACGTACACACACAACATTAATGTCAATGTCACTCATATTTTGATTTACAGATAAACACTTACAGCACTATACATCCAAGGAACATACCAGAATACAGTGTGAACTTAGACATTCACAGTAACTGAAAACTATCACAATTGATGCAGACTTTCTTCAGCTCAAAAAGAACTGAATCCAACAGGTGGAATCAGCTGAAACTAATGCTGACTCAAAGTATTGACATTTGACATAAAAGTGCAGCACGTTTCAATCCTACTCACCCTTAACTGACATCCAACTCTGTGCTGACACTTTTTGTGAGTATTCACACTTGTAAAAGCCTTCATCTGACTTTGACACTGCAGAGATATTTAGCTCCCTTCTGGTATCATTTTGAATGAGTTTGCCATTTTGATAGAAAAACACCTTGGAAGCAAATGTTTTTCTTTTTATTCTGCAGATAAGACTAACAGAATCTCCTTCGGTCACAGGATGGACAGGGCTCACCAGGATAATATGGTTACCTGTAATACAGACACAGAATGAGGTTAAACAACAGGTGTCATTCATTAACATGAAAACTCCCCCTACAGTGTATTTTGGCATTTTTGTATTTCATATTTTTCTCAGTCATTTCCTGATGATGTTGATTAGCAACACTGTTCACCAAATATCTGATGACAAATCATTTTGTGCTGAAAATAGGTACATGACATATGACTATAGTAAAAGCTAGTGATGGCTAAATGAGGCCTCATGAACCACTGTCTTTATTTTCTGAAGACACCAGATGGCACTGACTGTTCAACAAAGGTTTGAAAGCACACTTCATTGCCAGTCCTTCAGCCTTTATCTTTAAACCAAGGGCGCCATCTGGTGGGGTCAGAAAATAAAGAAATTGGTTCACGAGGCTTCATTTGGCCATCATTCGTAAAAGCTGGATAATGGGATGTTTAAATTACTTAAAAGAAAATGTATCAGAACCATACTTGATATAGTGATGTTGACTGCGTTGCTGAACTCTCCTGATCCAGACTCACACCAGTACACTGCATTACTGGACCGGTAACGCTCTATGCTGCATGTGGATCCAGTCATTGTCCCCCAGTTTTGGCAGAATAATATGTTGCCAGATTCAGTTAACTTCACTCTCCACTCAGTAGAGTTTCCTTCACAGTTCAGTGATACAGAGTCAGAGGTGAAGTGTTGAACTCTGTCTGGACTCACCATGAGAGACGCAGATGACTGAACATCTGAAAAACATGTAACAAGGGGTCAAACCATGCACAGTGATTTAAAGATTAAGATCCTATTATGTAAATATTCCTTTGCTGTATTTTTATTGTTGGGGGAAAATTACATTACCATTTGAACATATTTTTAACACTAGACAATTAAGTTACAACAGCAGCTGATGTCTGAAAGATGGCACGTAAAAATAGGCAGTTTCCCACTCTACAAAGATACAAGGAGCAAGTATTTCATAATAAAACGTGCTGCTGCATTCTCTTTTGTCTTATCTGTCTCTCTCTGTTTGTTTACCCTGTCCATTTAGCGTGCTGACTTTTTTGGTTTTTCTTTTGTGAGTTCTCCAGGAATACATATCCTGCCTGTTGTGTAAGGAAAATAATAAGTACAAGATGAGCTTAAATATCCAAAGTAAAAGTTACAGCCCAAATCTTAATTCTATCTCTTTGGTGTTTTTATGCTATCAGATTAATTACAAAAGGAAACGGAGGTAAGGACTGAAGGAAACAAGGTAATTCCACCTGAGCCCATAAGTAAAATCACCCAGTAAGATGGAAAGCATAAAGTCTGGCTTGATGCAAGCGAGAGAGGAAAGATCATAAGGTCACCACAGTTAATTAGTTGTCAACGTATGTGTTACTGGGACCAACAGAAACAAACCTACCTCCAGACCAGACAAACTTAGGTTCACTGTAATGAGTATAATACACTGGATCTCCTCTTCCAGCTCTGCACACATATCCTGCTGTGTGTGTCTGTCCATCAACAATGTAGGAATCCTGTTCAGTCCCATNTTAACTGCACAGTGATTGGGGTCTGTCAAGTAAAACAATAAAACATCCTCACCAACAAATCAGACAAACTTTGGTAAGCTTCAATAAGTGCAATACAGTGTCTCCTCTTACATCTCCATACATGCAGTATATTGTTCTGTGTGTCAGCTTATTAACAAAATAGGAATCCTGTACAGTATATTCAACTTTTGAAATCACACAAGATGCTAAAATACAAGTCCTTCAATGGAACAGCCTTATTTGAATCAGCACAGATGCATCTCTAGTCTGATTTTCATTGAGTCCTGGTTGAGTTATGCATGTCTCAAATATCTGTGGCAAACTCTCTGTTCAGCTGAAGGTCTGTAGCATAGCGATGGCCAAATGAAGCCTTATGAACCAATTTCTTTATTTTCTGACCCCACCAGATGGCGCCCTTGATTTAAAGGTAAAGGCTGAAGGACTTGCAATGAAGTGTGCTTTCAAGCCTTTGTTGAACAGACAGCACCATCTGGTGGCTTCAGAAAATAAAGACAGTGGTTCATGAGGCCTCATTTAGCCATCACTACTGTAGCATACTGCTGCTGCAGTTGATAACGCTGGACCTGTAACTTTCGTGATTTTGAGTTCATAATTTTAACATGATTGTTTGTAAATAACTTACCTTTTGCATACATGATTGTGATAATATTGCTATGTACAGTATATAACATGCTGAGAAATGTATTTACGTTTATTTGGTTTAATTGCACCCCCTGCTGTTATGTTTGAGTATTGCAATGAGTGTGGTGCGTAGAGGTCATGTGATCAAAAGCGTCAAGTTAGTGGGAGAAGAAGGAGACGAGAGCAGGAGTGTTACAAAATGTCCAAAGGGTTTAAAATGAATCAAGACGGATTAACGTTCTCCTAACTACTTCCAAATTCCGGTTCAGAAGGCGCAACGGTATGTGTGACCATGTGTATTTTATTGTGTATTTGTGTTATTGATCTGTAATATATATTTCGTTCAGAGCTAGCAAGTCTGGGTTAGCTAATGTGAGAGAGACAATGGTAGGTTAATGGTGGCTTTGTGTCGCATGTAATTATTGTAAATGTGATTGTGATTGTGTATATTTTGTGTTAGTTTTTCACCGCAAAATGGTGTTCACACTGTGGATTGGAGGAGAATAAAGTTGTGGAACACTGGCTGGTTGACTTGTCAAGTCTGTCTGAACTAGAACAAAACATTTGGAAGCAGTTACAGGACCTTACACAGCCCTTTCAGGATTGTTGCGATGACGCAACCACAACAATTCACGCAAATTCAACCAATCACTGAGAATTCTGTGCAACCTTGCAATTTTGTCCAATCACTGCAACTTTTCCGCAAATTTTCCCAATCATTGTAGCTCTCCGTGAGTTTTACCAATCATAGCAGTACCCTGTATATCGTCACCAAACTCATTTCCTTCTTTCCAGTTGAGCAGATGCACTCGTGCAACATCTCACATTTCTAGCACATATTACTGCTAAAGCAGTTTTAGTCTCTATAGCTAATTTCCCCTCCATTACAATTGTATGGGGGTGAATTTTTTTATAACTCACTGGATTATATTTTGTTAAGGCACAAAGTTATAAATATTTAAGGGTGGAGACGTTTGAGTGACAGGCTGTCCGCTGATAGTGTCTTTAGCTTCTCAGTTACGGCTGCAAACTTCTGAAAGGTAAAATATGTGATACTACACCTGCTGGTATCTCATCATGATACTTTTGTTTGTTCTGTCTCTGATATCTGTCTTCATCTCAATACAATACAGATGAACTGAATTTGAAAAACGTGAACAGTTTGGAACTTATTTTAACCAAAGAAATATTTCCTGAAAATCAATACCAAGTCCACTTTATGGCTTTTGCCAAGATAGTGTCAGAAGGCTACTGTGGGATGTGTTTATCCAGTTCAGATGTCCAGTAAAAAAAAATTGAAGACAATTTGAAAACAAACTAAAAATACAACTGGCAACTTACTCCTGAAAAAATAAACTTTACTGAAGCATAGAATACAAAAATAATTAAAAACAAAAAATATCAAATTCAATCAGGTGAAAATAAAATATGCACAGTAGTTATAAATATATTTTTAAGACAGAGGAAAACATGTACATGTAATAGGACATGTCTGATAGCAGATGATTACATACTGTATATTAAAGTAGTTTGTAATGTCCATCCTGGATCTATCTTATGTAACTCTATAAAAGATGCTGACTTTAAAGCTGCACTATCAGAAGCTCAAATATACTTGTGCTGCTCTTTGGAATAACTTGTATTCAAAGTTTCCCACAAAAAATAAATGACAAAATGACTGTACAAAATGAAAAAGATAAGGCAGTGCATTAACATTAAATGAGAATATGCATCAATAGCCTTGTGCTCGTGCTCAGACTAATTAAATCCACAAGTTAAGCACAGACGCTTCCAGTCGCCTCTCTGTCAGCGTGTTGGTGGTGCTTTTTGTGGTGGGCTTTGGACGATGATGGCGTGTGGCTGTGAGTCTCTCATCAGGATGATGAGCATCGACTCACCAGTCTGAAAACTCTCCTCTGCTAGCTAGCTGCTAGCTAGCCAGGTCAAGGTTCTCACATGTAAACATCAGTAAACATCAAGGAAAGGATGGAGAAGAATGAGCGCCAGCCAAACTAGCATCCTGCTAGCCATTGTACAGATGTTGGAAATAAACTGGACAACCTCTGTGACACATCAGTTTTCAACAGGATAACAGGATGTTCACCGAAACTTGGCTAGTGCCATTTCACCAGGTGACTCTGTCTCTATATGCAAAGTCTGACAGAGCGGAGGGGAAGAAAAGAAGATGTGTGTTTTACAGTGAACAAGGACTGGTGTGTTGTACAATCCCATGTGACAAATACATTTTGAATTGAATGACTGGAAGAGAAGCAAACCAACAAAACAAATCATTATTCAAGATGTAAGGACGCTTTCTGACATGTTAATCTGACTTATAATCATTTAATGATCTGCAGAATGAATCATTTAAGTGAGCACATCATGTGGTGCATTATTACCAAGAGCTGTTCCTGGTTCAACTTCAGAGAGAAGTTTCATCAGTTGCTGGTGCAGTTGATTTTTCTATGAATGAAGAAGTTCAATTTAATTAATAATATATACGGTATATAGTGTCATAATAATAAGTTTTAACAGTATTTACTTATGTATATAAACTTTATAAAGGATCACTTCCGGATTTTTCAACCTGGAGCCTGTTTGCCTGTGTAAATTGGTCACTGATGTGAACAACAATTTTTGAAACCTGGGGCAACTGAACACCATCACTGTATGTCCTTTAAAAGAGGTTATGGATATTGAAAATCTTTTAGACAACACTAAAAAAAAAATCTACAAACTACTGTGGTTAATATACTCTCTCCAAATCTCACTCATGTTTCCACTGTCATCTCACTGCAACTAGTGACATCTTGTGATATTTCAGAGAGACTTCTTCTTAATGAGGCAATGACAAACAGACCAGTAGAAGTGAAAGGTAAAGAGACACTTAAACCACTTATAGTTACAATCTGAGCTGCTCTGTGGCAAAAATAACCACTATAATAGACATAGACATACAGTGGCTGTGTTCATTTGACAGAAATTTGATGATGTTCACACAGGAATATAAAATAGATATACAAGAGGGAATTATGATATATTACCTTTATTTAAAAGGCTTTTTTTTCTTTGTTTAAAAAAAAAAAAATCACTAGAAAAGGCAATATTAAAATTTGTTTTATAATTTTGTATGATTGAACATGTGCTCATTCACAGGCAGTGTAATGGAAGCCTTAGTCACTTTAAAACAGTTCAGTTATTTTTTATAGTGTAGATTTCTGTGAGCATCTGTTACCTCCAGTATAATGATAGAACACATTTCAATACAAACTCTGAGCATGACTGTTGTAAATGACTGACCTGCAGTTCCTATATTCACATCAGAGTAAAGACAACTCTCCTCTGGTTCATGGCATTTCCCTGTTAAGATGATCACATTAATCCATTAAATAAAATATTTCACTTCAGGACAAAACAAACTATTTTCTATTGTTCTATGTATTTGGAGTACTCACCCGTCTTTCCAGTGTTTTTAAGTTCAATCAATGAATAGGTGGCATCCTGGGATTCAGCTGTATCTGAAAAATAATTTTTTTTAGTTACAGGTTTCTCTATCAGTCACTCATAATTAATCCCCTAAAAAAAGCCATTTCCTACAAGAGCGATGCAAAAATCCACATGACAGCTATTCACACCAGGCTGATGTGAATTATTCACGTTGCCGTGCTCCATTTTATCTAACAAGCAATTCACTGTCCGTAAACAAACATGAGTACCTTGTTCCTCTGGGGGGATTAGCCCTCACTAACATCCAAACTTCACTGCTGCATGGAACACTATATAATCCCAACCAGGGAAGGAGGACTGTTTGCTTCAGTTTGTTTCAGGCAGTGACCAACATAACAAACTAAGAGTAAAGTAAGAAGACATTCTCTATTTTGGCAGCAAGCGAGCTCTGACCTGAAGGTATGACATCATTTGGAACAAAGGATTTCACTGGTCAAACATTTATTTTCACAGGCAAATTTCCGCTGAGATCTGTCTGAATATTTTTTGTCCCCACACAAAGGTTACATAAATCAGTTTTTATAAATTTCAATCCAAATTGAAATGCTCACCACACAAGGCTGTCAAGACTTAATTCATTAATTAATCGTTAATTCTGATTCAAATCTCATTTAAGTAATTTGATCTTGTTTTGGTACTCCTGGTAGCTGGACATCCTGACCTCTCCGAAGACTTGTTATCAGTGAAAAATCAGTTACTGCATTGGCAGCCAAATTTTAGGCAAAAGACAGCTCATATCTAAAATGTTTTCACCTAAATGTGATAGAGCATTTTTGCAGTGCATGTTACTAAAATATATATATACTGTACCATTATCAGTGTCGTCAGAGCCTTTAATTGATTCATAGAGACGAGCGTCACCTACAGAGCAGCGAAAATCAAGTTGAAGTCAAGTTTTCCATTTTAATTACATGATGCCATAATTAAACATCCTGAGATGTTTTTAAAATGTGTCTTTAAAACGTGTGTATCAAATCAAGATGTGTCCTTACCACGGAGAGGAGAGGGATCTTCATTCTGTTGAGCCTCATTCTGGTTGACCATGTGACCTGTAGCAGAACCCCGATTGGTGCTCTCAGACTGGACTGCCCTACAACATGCAGATAATAAATTTACAAAGGAACATGGAATGTATTTAATGGTATCATCAAAATAAGATAATGTTGTACCAACCTGATAAAGCATGAATCTGTAAATAAAGACATTTGTTGTTAGATGGTTTTGTATTTTAAGTTGTCATACTGCCATTCTGTCATGAGATCAGACAAACCAATTGCAAGAAAATACGTTGGCATTGTATGTTTCTGTTAGATCTGTATGTTATTATGTGGCGGATATGTTGAACCTTTACGTTTCTTACAACACTGTGGTTGATGTGTGGTTTTGTTCAGGCACAGAACCCAAAAGGTCATGCTAGTAAAAGATCAGGTTTGGCTTAAAATACCCATGTTCAGTGGCACAAAAGCTGCTGGAAACATGGCCTTGGGTCACCCAAAAAAAAAAAACCACGCTTCTTGAAACGTAGCCACTGGTACATAAGTACTGTGGCACAAAAGCTGCTTCACACATGGCCACTGGTTGCTAAAAACAGTGAAGTTCTGTGGCACAAAAGCTGCCAGAAACTCAGCCACCAGTCACTAAAAAACAAGTGTTGGTATTTGTTCATCTCCAACAGCAACCCCCCCTTTGCAACCCTCTGGCATAGGTGTGACACAATCCACCATCCCCTTCACCTCCACCTAGAAATGTTGATATGGTACCTGTGAAACATTCAAATGTAATGTATCCCTGGCTTGCAGAAATGTACAATGCCAACATTTTCTTCTGGCGACTGGGCTGGATCAGAATACATCTGTGTATTTGAACAGTTAAACCATAACTCATGTAATAAAGGTCTCACCTTTGGACGGTGTGAAGCAATACAAAAGGGGCAGAAGAATAACAACTACAATTCCAAAAACCAGCCGGATAATCATCGGTACAGGAAATGAGGAGCTTTCAGGCCTGGAGGCTCCTGTAATAAATAAAAACCGTTAAACTTAAATAGCAGTTTTGTTTAACTGAATTTACAACATTTTTCACAAGGATAAGTCACATCAAGCAACAAACAATAAAAATGTCCACATACAGTGTGAACTTAGCCATCCCCAATAACTCAAGACTGTCACAACATCTGATGCAGACTTACTTCAGCTCACAAAGAACTGAATCCAACAGGTGGGATCAGCTGAAACTAATGCTGACTCAAAGTATTGACATATGACATATTAGAAACTGCATTACGTGTTTTACTCCTACTCACCTTCAACTGACATCCAACTCTGTGCTGACACTCCTGTTGAGTATTTACACTTGTAAAAGCCTTCATCTGACTTTGACACTGCAGAGATATTTAGCTCCCTTCTGGTGTCATTTTGAATGAGTTTGTCATTTCGATAGAAAAACACCTTGGAAGCAAATGTTTGGCTTCTTAATTCGCAGCTAAGACTAACAGAATCTCCTTCGGTCACAGGATGGACAGGGCTCACCAGGATAATACGGTTACCTGTAATACAGACACAGAATGAGGTTAAACAACAGGTGTCATTCATTAACATGAAAACTCCCCCTACAGTGTATTTTGGCATTTTTGTATTTCATATTTTTCTCAGTCATTTCCTGATGATGTTGATTAACAACATTGTTCATCAAATATCTGATGACAAATCATTTTGTGCTGAAAACAGGTACATGACATATGACCACAGTAAAAGCTAGTGATGGCCGAATGAGGCCTCATGAACCACTGTCTTTCTGAAGCCACCAGATGGCGCTGACTGTTCAACAAAGGTTTGAAAGCACACTTCATTGCCAGTCCTTCAGCCTTTATCTTTAAACCAAGAGCGCCATCTGGTGGGGTCAGAAAATAAAGAAATCCATCACTAAAGCCATCACTAGTAAAAGCTGCAGCTCCTCAAAGCTCCACACAAGAAGAACAGAACAGGTCGTTTAAATTATTTACTTGAAAAAGAAAATGTATAGAAACCATACTTGATATAGTGATGTTGACTGCGTTGCTGAACTCTCCTGATCCAGACTCACACCAGTACACTGCATTACTGGGCCAGTAACGCTCTATGCTGCATGTGGATCCAGTCATTGTCCCCCAGTTTTGGCAGAATAATATGTTGCCAGATTCAGTTAACTTCTTCACTCTCCACTCAGTAGAGTTTCCTTCACAGTTCAGTGACACAGAGTCAGAGGTGAAGTGTTGAACTCTGTCTGGACTCACCATGAGAGACGCAGATGACTGAACATCTGAAAAACATGTAACAAGGGGTCAAACCATGCACAGTGATTTAAAGACTAAGATCCTATTATGTCTATTATATCTTTGCCTGAATTTGCCAGTTCCCCAGGTACACATGTCCTGCCTGTTGTGTAAGGAAAAATAATAAGTATAAGATGAGTTTAAATTTCCAAAGTAAAAGTTAACCGCAAAAATCTTATCTCTGTCTCGTTGGTGTTTTTATGCTATCTGTTAAAGGAGCTAAGTCTACTACTAGCTACTGAGGTATGTGACCAGGGTTGACGCGCCTGTTGCTGGACACGCTACGCTAGCTTCGTTATCCAAATGCTAAATCAAAGTCCATGAAACTTCTTGGGTTGCATCACCGTAACATTTATTCCACGTGTCCATCTGTTACATCCACATTTGTCGTTCAATACAAAACACACAAACAAAACTGTACCGCGTGCGTTCCGCGCCATTGCGGTCAAAAACCATTTGCCCTTCCAGGCCAAACACCTAATGACCATAGTGAGGTCACATCCTAAATACCTGAACTCACCAGATGACAGTACAGTGCCCCCCAATGCCCACACAGTGAATTACACAGTTAAAAGCAAACCTCCCAATAACATAATTGGCTCCTATACTATCAGATTAATTATGAAAGGAAACGGAGGTAAGGACTGAAAGAAACAAGGTCATTTCACCCAAGCCCATAAGTAAAATCACCCAGTAAGATGGAAAGCATAAAGTCTGGCTTGATGCAAGCGAGAGAGGAAAGATCATGAGCTCACCACAGTTAATTAGTTGTCAACGTATGTGTTACTTTTCAAGATACTGTATGTAAATTACAGGGAAAAAAAGACATGAACCAAGGCGAATACATAACATATGCTTCTTTAGATAAGGACCAACAGAAACAAACCCACCTCCAGACCAGACAAACTTAGGTTCACTGTAATGAGTATAATACACTGGATCTCCTCTTCCAGCTCTGCACACATATCCTGCTGTGTGTGTCTGTCCATCAACAATGTAGGAATCCTGTTCAGTCCCATTGATGCTGCCAGGTATCAGCTCATAGCTGTAGGAGTTGTCTGACAGTTTGGGAACAGCCTTATACCAGAAGAACCTCCATCCTGCAGATGGATGTTTAACACTGCAGTTCAGAGTTACTGAGGCTCCAGGACTCAGCCATAATGGAGACACAGTGAGGACAGGCTGAGGTTTATCTGTTGGAAAGTGATTTCACAGAAAAAAACTGCTGTGATGTATTGACGGTAACATGAACTGCTTGTATTCTACATGTTCTCTTGAAATAGATAACACAAATGTGAGGATGCACCATCATAAAAGTTACCAAAATTACATTCAAAATATTTTTAAACATTCAGTAAAATAAAAATGACTGATGACGTGTGACTTACTGGAAGATACTCTCAATCTGAAAGCATCACTCCACTCTGTTGAAGACATTTCACCTCTCACTCTGCCCCTGCACTTGTAGTCTCCTCTGTCTCATGTTGATGCATATCCAATCATGTGTTCGCTTTGTTTCTTAAGTGTGTTTGAGCGGTGTTTCCACTCATACTCCCACTCATTGGCTACGGTTACACGATGGCTTCTCATTCGGAATTAAATAAATCTGAATGAAATTATTTGGAATTAAAGTTTTTCCAGGTAGTTTACATGAGAAATATTCATTCCGAATGAGGGTTTACACGGAAGATCAGTTCAATCGCCTTTATTCAGGTCTGCGCAAGGTTTGGGGCAGGGAAGGTTTCTGATTGGATAGGGGACGGGGCAGATGTTACGTGTTTACGTTTACTGGAAGAAAACACTGTAGTACTCGCTTCGGATAACAAGATGCTTGACGCCGCCGTTCTTAGTGCCTTTTTCGGGCGTGTTTTGCTTATATTCTTGAAGCAGCAGTGCGACAAGAACCTTGTTCTGCTAATGCTTCATCTGTTGAGGAGGAGAAGGGAGGTAGAAGACTGTGCTGTGGCGAATGGAAACCTGTGAGTGCAACGAGTCCGACTGCTCTATCTCAGCCCGTTGCTATGTGCTCTATATACGTCATCGCGCCAGAAGGGCAAGGAAACGAGCATGCGCAGAAAGACCGTATACATGCACACAAAATTCTTTCATTCGGAATGACAAACGGAATAAACCACCCCCTTTAATCGGATTTAATTTTCAATCGGAATGACCTTTTATTCCGATTGAAAGTGGAATTAAACTGTCCATGTAAACATACTGACAGTCTCCTCTGTTCTTAATTTCACATGTCAGTCTAATCATCTCTCCAAAGCATATCTCAGGCCAGTTGGGATGCAGAGTCATAACAGCTCTGTTTGTGACTGTTCAGGATGAAGAATTCCGAACAAGGACACAACAATGACAAAACGTTAAATCTACATACAAACAACAGGGACCATATTTAAGCAACCTAAAGCACATGGTATAAAGTTCATGGCTTGAGGGCATTTATGACGTGTCCAGCTAGACTTTTGCAAGTTAAACAGTGCATAAACTGTGCGCAAAATAAGGCGCAAAGGGAAAACGGGTTGTTTTTAATTTCCTGATCAGTCATAGGTGTGGTATGGGTGTCACATTAATTCAATCAGAGTGCCATCTCTTATTCTGTTCACGTGCTATTTACATGGCAGATTCAGCACACTGCTGCTGAGAGTAATGCAGTAAAAGCAGTAATGTCACTGGTCCTAGTGCGTAAATGTGCACCACAGAGTGTATGCACGTTGTAAACCCGACTGTGTAGGTGCCCTTTAAATAGTGGGAAAATACTGCACCATTCTGACTTTAGACCAGGTTCCTGTTGGTCTGTGTTGCAGTCTTTTTCTGCAGCCTCAAAAGAGCAAAACTCCAGCCATGTGCCTGACCACACCTTATTTTAGGACCTACACGACCATGGGTGCAAGTGCATTTGCTACTTACAAAATGTGGGTGCTGGCCATGAAAATAACAGTGTTGTCATTCTGAAACTATCAATGACGTCTGCACTGTACTGAGCTGTGCACTGTTTTGCTCCAGATGTAAGATAAGGCCCAATGCCTTTTTGAGGTAAATATCAGACTCACTTGTTTCATTGATGGGGATTGAATCACTGTACTCTGTGTAGTAAACAGGGTCCCCTCTTCCTCCTCTGCACCAGTAGAGTCCTTCCTGTGAGACACGGATTTTTCCATTTGAGAGGAAGATATAATCTTGTGAGGTCAGAGGCTCCTCTCCTCTGTACCAGAAGTATGTCCAACCAGATGATGATGATGATGATGATGATGGGTTCACAGAGCAGGTCAGGGTCACACTGCCCCCTACAGGAATGTCTTCATTGTCAGCAGTCAGTCTGGCCCATGGTCTGGATGCTGTTGTAATTTAGAACACAGAAATAAAAATGGTAGTTATTGTCCACATTTCTAGCCATTGGTTTACGTGCTGTTCAACTGAGAATAGAGACATAAAAGGTCATCACTGTTCCTGTGAATGAACCCAATTAATATACCTTGATGAAAAT